TTCAGGAGTTTCTTCAAACAGGAATTTGCTATATTCCAAGTAAATTAATTCCTAATAAGTTAACTCCTAACTTAATCAGTATGTCAAAAACCGACGACATGCCCCCAAAGAGAGAGTGGATAGTACAGGATTGGCTGCCTTCAGGTTATGTCTCTGCTCTTTATGGTGATGGTGGAGTTGGAAAATCTCTTCTTGTTCAACAACTAATTACAGCACTTGCAGCGGGTAAGCCATGGCTTGGTATCAATTTAAACCCTATTAAAGTTTATGCTTTGTTTTGTGAGGATGATAGACTTGAGCTTACACGTCGTCAACATGCTATTAACCATTTTTATCGTGTAAAAGGTTATTCACTTGAAGAGAAAATACGCATGATGACAAGAGTAGGAGAAGACAATAGATTAATGGATTTTAACAGCAAAGATTCAGGTAAATTAACATCTTTTTTCCATGACTTGCTTGAGGATATCAAAGCATTTCAACCAAAACTTGTTGTATTAGATACAGCAGCAGACTTATTTGATGGAAATGAAAACAATCGTACACAAGTAAGAAATTTCATTCAGAATTGTTGTGCACGAATAGCAAGAGAAATTGATGGTGCAGTATTGTTATGTATGCATCCTTCTGATGTTGGAATACAAAGGAAAACAGGTACAGGAGGTTCAACAGCATGGAATAATACTGTAAGATCTAGATGGTATTTAACCAGGCCGGAAAAAGCTGGTGTTTCACCTGATGATAGAATTTTATCTCGAAAAAAGTCCAATTATTCGCAGAGCAATGATGAAAAGATAGTTATGCGTTGGGAAAACGGTGCATTTGCACACGATGATCTAGCTTTAGGTTCAGAACCAATGGTAAGAGGACAATATAGCGAAAAGTTAGATTTAGAACGCGAGAGAAAACATGAAGTTATCTTGAATCTAATTCGTAGAATGGCATATCAAGGCAAAATTTATACTGCAGCACAATTTGCAAGAAGTTTTGAAGGAGAAGAAGGACTTGGTAGTGATCGCAATATAAGGGGAAGAATTGATCATCTTGCAACTCTCGGGCAAATAAAGTTCTTTCGTAATGCTGAAGAATATGGAATAGCAAATACTAACTCTAAATATGGATTTCTTTGTGTAAAAGATATGGAGACAAAGATTTGCATAGAAGGTAAGGTAGAATACAAATTAGTAAAGCCAACACATCATTATTTGGAGGCAAATGGTAAAGTATTACCTATTAAGGGCACGAATAATTTATGGTAAAGTGTTTCACAGATTATACCTTTTTAATTGTTTTTAGATTGTCATAAAACAAGTATAGCAAGAATTAATACTATACCATATTAGTATATTTATTAACTAAAAACTCTTCAAAATGCAAAATCATTTGGCAAAATTACCAGATAACCAAATGAATTATTAAAGAAAAAGCAAGAAAATCAATATCTTACACTATTTTCAAATGGCAAATAAAATTTCATTTGGCAAAATTACCAATTAGCTTAAAAGGTGCATAAATGGAAGAGTTTCAGCCAAAATGTCAAATGGCAAATTCCCCTATATATAATATATTACATCAGTAGTGTGTAATATATACATTATAACCAAATGGCACCTAACATGAAAATAATGTTTCCTCAGTGCATAACCATTTTTAACAAAGCTAAAGACGTAAAGGAGCAACAATCCATAATGCTTTTTAATGATGTTTTAAAGTGGTTCTAGAACTTTATGGATATAATACACCCATATTCATATTGCTAATATAAACCACATCTAAACTGGTCCTTTTGCAAGAGATGACGGTAAATTTAAGCTAGGTGCAGGGGACTTTAAAGTTGCTAATAGTCTTATATATAATTAACAATAATAACTAATATGAAAATATATAATAAATTGTAAGTTAATAATAAGGTTAATTAAAATTAGAGTAAATTTAGAATGTCTAGGAAGCAAAAAGCCATGGAAACACAGCAATAAGAAACTTTAAAATACTCATAAATACAATAAGTAGTTCTCAATGCCGTTTTAAAACGATTCTATGGCTTCAGGGTCAATTATACCACCCATACTTAAAGAATGCATATAAACCCTGTTTAAAGCCGAATAAATGATACTCTTAAACTATTGTTTACCTTCACTCTATCACATTATTTGCTAGTTGAAAAGAAAAAAATTGAAGCATTAGTTGGTTGTCATAAGATCTAGTGGCATTGGAAATTGCATCTGACTTTTTAGGTCACTAACTTCATGATTTGTTTCATCCAATATTTAATCTTTAATCTTTAATGGTAGCTGCATAAAAGCTGTATTTAAATGGCACTCTTTTCGAACTTTTGCATCTTTGAATATATTTTCATTTTTAAGTAAAGTCGATAATAACGCGGTTTCTTATTTTCACACACGCAAATAAAAATAAGACTTGATAACAATTTGAAGTTTAGATGCTTTTAAAGTTAAAGTACTTACATGTGAAATGAAGGCTATGACCTTTTGAAAAAATTAAGATGTCCGCAAATAAAGTCTCTAAATTGGCTGGTAGTTGTTGCCTTATTCATGTCAGCAAGCAAAACTTTTATCTTGAGAAGATAAGGATTTCTTAAAAAAAGGCTAGAAAACACGTTTTTAAGCTAGGTATAACTTCAAGGTATAAAAATACCATCCATACCCCTATCGCTAACGTAGGCACTATTAAAACTCAAATAAAAGACATACCTGAGCCGTCCTCTATTTGATATAAAACTCCTTTTAATTTTATCATACTTTTTGTCCATTACAAATAATTTTTTCAAAAAAAAGTGAACAGTTTTTCGAAATTTGGTGAATATATATAATAGCAGGAAGAAATTTCTTGACGTATTTAACTCTCAGGTAGCACAGATTCTTGGGTATCCGTTGTTGGCTGAAAAAGAACTTGTGAATGTTACAGTTTGTAGGAACCAGACGATACTTTAGGAATCTGTGCTACCAAATTTAATATTTTTATGATAGAAGCAATAGACTTTTCACTTTGTATCTGCAGGGCATAGCACAGAGTGGTGGATGAGGGTGGGTATCAAATAAAATTGCTACTTAAAGCAGAAAAAGCCATAATAGTTTGAAGTGTGTACTGGATAAGGTGTATGAAAGATAAGTTTCTAAGTAACAATGAAATCTTATTTTATGAAACAGAAGATGGAAAGGTATGTATAGAGGTAAGGTTTGAGAATGACAACCTATGGCTTACACAGAAACATATGGCTGAGCTATTTGGTTGTTCAAATGATAATATTTCATTGCACTTAAAGAATATTTATCTAAGTAAAGAATTAGATAAAAGTTCAACTACCGAGGAACTCTCGATAGTTCAAAAAGAGGGACAAAGAGAGATAAAACGTAATGTAGTATTCTACAATTTAGAAGCTGTAATATCAATAGGCTATCGTGTTAATTCAGAGCGTGGCATAGCTTTTCGTACATGGGCAACTGATAAACTAAAGAAGTACATTTTTAAAGGTTTTGCAATAGATAGTAATAGATTTAAGAATGGAACAAAATTTGAGGCCAGGTTCTTTGATGAGTTAGTTGAAGAAATAAGAGAGATTCGAGCTAGTGAACGTATGGCTTACCAAAAAATTACAGATATTTATGCAACTTCAGTAGACTATTCGAGTTGTGCAATTGAAACAAAAAATTTTTTTAGTGTAGTGCAAAACAAGCTACATTTTGCTATTACCGGAAATACAGCAGCAGAAATCATAGCAAATAGAGCAAATCGAAATAAACCAAATATGGGCCTAACAAATTGGCGAAAAGCTCCTAAAGGGAAAATGTTTCTTTCTGATACACAGATAGCAAAAAACTACTTGGATAAAAATGAAATTGCTCAATTGAATAAGATAGTGAATATGTATATAGACCATGCAGAGTTTCAAGCTGCTCGAGGTAAAGTGATGTATATGAAAGATTGGAAGGAAAAGCTTGATGCATTTTTAAAATTTAACGAGCAAGAGATATTAAAGGACCATGGTAGAGTGTCTCATGAGGTAGCAATTGCTTTAGCCACAAAAGAATATAAAGAATTCAGAAAAACACAAGACAAATCATACAAGTCAGACTTTGATAAATTGGTAGAAGAAAGCAAAAAGAAAAACCTAAACCACAACTAAGAAACATATGTCTCAAAATAAAATA